GATATTCTTCCATGAAGAGATTTCCTTTCTTACCCTTGAACTTACATATTAATTTATGTATTTATTATTTATTCATTTATTTTTGATAACTTATGGTCTTTTTTGTTTTCTGTGTGCCATAATTAATTAACATCATGATTCCTGTTGATGCTCAAATTATCCCAAGTTTGATCAATTTGAGCACCTACCAGATACCACCTGCGTTCTTTTTACATATCCCCATCATTTTTATACTTCCTTGCTTTATGACATTCCAATGGGATATTGTCTTTTTCATTACTACATTTTCATATACACGTTTGTCTATTTGTGAACTTTCTATTCGCCTCCATTGAACTATCTACTCATTAATCAATACCACACTGTTTTAATTATAGAAGCTTTATAGTATGTTTTAATATCTGGCAAGGCATTTGTTAAAAGGATAGAGCTTGCATTAAGTGTTCTTACCACACACGCATGCACACACAGGAAACCATCAAAGGAGCACAAGGAAACTTTAGAACGTTTACAAGGAAACTTGTGGAGGTGATAAATATGTCTATTATCTTAATTATGGTGATGGTCTCACAGGTGTTGCAAGTGTTCAAATGTATAAACTTGTATACATTAAATAAGTACACTTTTTGTATATTAATTTATTCCTCAATAAAACTGCTTAAAAAATATCTAGTAAGGCTAGTCACCTCTCCTTTTTCTTTTCTTTAGGGTTCTCGTAACTATTTTTATTTTTTCATATAAACTTCAAAATCTACTTGACTAGCTCTATAAAAACAACTTTGTTATTTTTATTGAGATTATGCCAAACTTATTAAGATGGGAATAAATGATAGCTTTATTATGTTTACGAGTACCATTCAAAAACAAGAAAAATTTCCAAACTTATTCAAGTCCACTTTTGTATTTTTCAGGAGTATGTTAATTTTTTTCTCATATAGATTTTACACACTTCCTGTTAAGCTTATGATTAAATAAATTCTTTTTGCTACTAATACAACTGAAGTTTCCTCTTCTGTTACATTATCTAACTAGCTATTTGTTTATAGAAAGGCTTCTGATTTTTGTATTTTAATAGTCTATTACCTTACTGATTTTTAAAATTGTGTTAGTGTTTTCATTGTTGTTTTGGATTTTCCATATATACTATGATATCAACTGTAAATAGAGATAGTTTTACTTCTATTTTAATTATCATGGCTCTTTCATTTGTTCTGATCTGATTGAATGGAATAGTATCTCTTATATATAATTTTTTTTTTTTTGAGATGGAGTCTAGCTCTGTCCCCCAGACTGGAGTGCAATGGTGAGATCTTGGCTCACCACAACCTCCATCTCCCAGGTTTAAGCAATTCTCCTGCCCTAGCCTCCCAAGTAGCTGGGATTACAGGCACATGCCACCACGTCCGGCTAATTTTTTGTATTTTTAGTAGAGATGGGGTTTTGTCATGTTGGCCAGGCTGGTCTGGAACTGCTGACCTCAGGTGATCTACCCACCTCAGCCTCCCAAAGTGTTGGGATTATAGACATGAGCCACTGTGCCCGACCCTGACATATGTTTAGATAGTAGTGGAGTTAGTGGACATTCTTGCCTTGTTCTTGGCCTTTCTGTAAATGCCTCTAGTATTCTCCATTAAGTAATATACCAGCTTTAGGACTGCAATGTGTGTGTGCATGTGTGGTTATATATATATATATTTCAGTTATATATCTGATCAGACAAAATCATAAGTTCTTATTTTATTCAGTATTTTAATCAGGAATGGTTCAGAAACGATTGCCAATTTTTGTCAAAGGCAGTTTTAGCATCTATGGAGATGAGTGAAGATGATCATATGATTTTCTGCTTAGATTTATGAACGTCTAAATTACGTTAGTAGATTACCTAATATTGAACCATCCTTATGTTTTTGGAATAATGTCACTTGGTCATGATGTTTTATTTTTATGATGAGTTCTTGGGTTCTGTTTGCGAATATGTTTAGATTTTTACTTCTGTATTCATAAGTGAGATTGATCTATAATTTTTTTTTGTACTATCTTATATAGTTTAGGTGACAATATATTTCTTGTTTCATAAAACTTCCTTGTGGCTTTTCTTGTTTTTCTATACTCAAAAAATGATTTAAGTAGCATTGGGAGTATGTGATCTTTGAAGACTTAGGAGAATTCTTTTGTGAAATCTAGGCCTAGTTCTTCTGTTATAGCCTTCTCCATTTATTCTATGGAAACTGGAAGCCCTTGTGTGATTTTGCAAAGCAGAATGTTCCCATTGCCTACAATAGTTTCACTCTTCTTTACAGAGCAAGTAACTATATTCACTAGGTCTGGCTCATATACCATCTTCTCACTCCACCCTTCACTTCAGGACAGAATCAATCTCTATTTTCTTTTATTGCTTCCATAATATTACATTTGTCTTATAGATCTGATCATGTTTGCATTGTAGCATACCTACTTTTGGAGGTATACATTTCTTTCTCCAGTCTCTAAAAGACAGACACTGATTTGATCACATTTAATTCTTCAGTCCCGAAAATACGGGTCAGGCTTTCATAGGTATTCATTAAATATATTTTGAATAATAATCATGGATGGAAGGAAAGAAATAATGGAAGACAAGACCACTATAGTAGGAACCATAGCCTTTTTTTTCTTTTTGAAACAGAGTCTTGCTCTGTCACCCAGGCTGGAGTACAGTGACACAATCTCAGCTCACTGTAACTTCTGCCTCCTGGCTTCAAGGGATTCTCTTGCCTCAGCCTCCCTGAGTAGCTGGGACTACAGGTGTGCACCACCACAGCCAGGTAATTTTTGTATTTTTAGTAGAGATGGGGTTTCACCATGTTGACCAGGCTGGTATTGAACTCCTGACCTAAAGTGATTTGTCTGGCTTGGCCTCCCAAAGTGCTGGGATTACAGGCATGAGCCACCGCACCTGGCCGGAACCACAGTCTATTAATAAAGTATGTGGACTCTAAGTCAGATATGCTGGAGTTTCTCCCCCAGTGATCTGAATGACTGGCAGGTGTGTAACATTGGCTGCTTACTTTCTGAGTTTCGTTCTACTCATCTATAGGTAAAGTTTCATAAGGGATTTGTATTCCGAACATGTGTACAATTCTTAACATTAAGTACTGTATGTGCTCAATAGATAATACTTTCTCTCTTTCTTCTCCCCATGGGAAAGTCTGCATTGTAGTTCTCTGGACAATTCCTGGAGAAATCATGAGATATGACTCTCTCACCTGAAGAATCACAGCAAAGGATCCATCCTACTGATAAGTAGTTCCCTCTGAAATTGCCTGAATGAATGAAATTCTCCAGTTCAGGTGAACAGCCCTGAGGATATGCAGGCATGTGTTGTGCTTCTGAGATTTTTACAACATTTGTTTTACAGAGGAAAGTTTACATTAGTTTAACATAGTTAGGAAACATGTCGTCTACAGGAGTAGAATACATCGTATTCTGAACAATTTAGCAGTCCTCATACTTGGGCTTTCTTCCCAGTTCTTGTGCTATTTTCCCAGACAGCAAATTAGTTAAATGGCCTTTGGCCATGACTCTTTCCCTTGAGTCAGCTTTTCTGTCGTTTAAAGTGTAGAGATAGGGGGGATTTAATTAGCCCAATGCCTGGCACATTGCATGCACTCAATAAATGTTTGTTGAGTCTTCGAGTTATCTCTAGATGGTCACTTTTGCTATTACTATTAATTTATGAGCATATCGGTAATTATTGTGCTGATAATACTGACAGTGAACAAGCACTTAAAAGAAGAGTTAACTCATAACTTATAGGGATGTATTATGAGAGTCCAGATAGTCAACAACCTGTCTATTTCAAACATATTCACTATTATTCTAATGTTCTAAGGCTGTAATTCTACACACGAAGCTCAGATAATTCTAAGATAGTGAGGAACTGCAGCAACTATCTGGATATTTTCCCTGCAGTGTGTGTGTGTGTGTGTGTGTGTGTGTGTGTGTGTGTGTGTGTGTAAGCCCCGACTAAATATAGAACCCCCATTCTTTGTGTAAGCTACTTAAGAGAAAGGATTTTATCTTTTAATTTTTATCTCTTCAGCAGAAATTATTGCTAGTTCGATCCCAAATCTATACATAAATTATAAAATTTAAAAACCCCTTAAAAATAAGTTTTTAATAAATATTTTTCCTGAAATAATGTTTTTACTGACCTTGAAAATTTTTCTTAGCTGTTGTCATGCTCAACATTACTCACTGATGACATATGTGGTAATGATGGCAGTGTAAAGAAAAAGCTTGAGGAAATACACACGGTGCTGATATTTTACTAAAATGAATGTAGCACTCATTCGTAATTGTAATTTAATTTTTAAGTAAAAATCTGATTTCCACTATCATTCCCTTAAGCCTGGCTCGTTATAGGCCTAAAGCCTGTGTGAATTTACACAGCTGCTTTGAGGCTTTGCATATTTCCTTGTTTTAGATTCTTTGATTTTTTTTTTTAAGGGGTATTTTTACACTGAAGTAAAACACAACTATTAACACTAGCCTCGGGGGGAAAAAGAAACTAACAAACCTACAGCTTGAAATGTTTCAATACTTTGCCTTTAAAATTTTGCACACCCTTTAGAAGTTACAAAAATAAAAACCACTCCCTGTAAAAAAAAAAAAAAAAAAAAAGAAAGAAAGAAAAAAAGATTGAGAACAAACTGTCATGATTTCAGAAAACGATAGCAGACGTGCAGGTGTTAACACCAGAGAGCTCACCTCTGAATAAAATGGTGCCTTCTAAACAGCCACTATTTACATGTTTTAGAATCCTTTCTTGGGCATGGGTGCCTTTATATTGCCCTATTACCACAAGATACAAGCCGTGCAGCAGAATGTTTTCTGTATGGTACCCAGCCAAAAGTGAAACAAGTTGCCCACTGACAGAGAGGCCATTTATAGAACATATTCATTTACACCAGTGCTCGGCAGCCACTGAAAGGCAATGCAAAGAAGTAATTTCTCTTTACCTTGCTTGGAGCAACTCTGACCTGGAGAGCCATGTACACATCCTACGTCAAGGAGGTGATGAAAGCCCCACTCCTTATAGCGATGACATCTGGAAGAAGACACAGTTGTCACCGTGAGCTTTTCAATTACTCCTGGAGACTAAGTGTGAGACGCAGTAGTGCAGGATGATTGGATTACGCAAAGCGAGACAGATGCCATCTGCGAGCCATGCGTAAGCTGCTGAGTGCCAAAATGAACATCCTTATTAAACGACGGAGTTCTCATACCATTTGTAGTTTGGTCAGATTTGAAAGATGAGTTGATTGTTTTTAGATAGTGCTGCAAATAGGCAGGGACTTGGAATCCTCTCTGGCTGTATGAGTAATTACTGTCTCATGCTTAAATTAGAAACATTGGTTTTCAGTTAGGTCTTGAGATTGTTTCCAAAGGATGCTGCTGCATTCATGTTGAAGCATGGCCTGTCCTCTCTGTTTCACTCACAAGGGCCACAGAGTTCTGAGAAAGAAATAATCAGTTCCTTTCACATCATGACAAAGAAATGTAAAAATTATGACTTTTTGTTAGGAAACAAAAGGATTCCCATACTCTAAAATAATGGCCACAGTACAGTGGGTGGAATGTTTTCCAGAAACTGCCAGAAGGCAGTATTGGAGCTCTGTGTCTCTCTGAGTCCTGAGGCTCCAGAACCAATCCTTCATTTACAATCCATTCTCTCATCTTTTTACTGGCACCAACTCTATTATTATTATTTTTTAATTTTTAATTGCTGTGATTACATAGTAATACAGTAATATACCCATAGTATTTATGGGGTATATGATATATTTTGATATAGGCATTGAATATGTAATGATCGCATCAAGGTCAGTGGGATTTCCATCACTTCAAGCATTTATCCTTTGTGTTACAAACAATCCAATTATACCCTTTTAGTTATTTTCAAATGTACAATTAAATTATTATTGACAATAGTCACTCTGTTGTGCTACCAAATACTAGATCTTATACATTCTCTCTAACTCTTTTTTGTATACATTAACCATTCCCACACTCCCCCTTTCCTCACACTACCCTTCCCAGCCTCTGGTAACCATTCTTCTGCTTTCCATCTCCATGAGTTCAATTGTTTTCCATTTTAGCTCCCACAAATAAGTGGGGACATACGAAATTTGTCTTTCTGTGCCTGATTTATTTCACTTAACATAAGGACCTCCAGTTCCATCCATATTGTTGCAAATGACAGGATCTCATTCTTTCCGTTGACTGAATTCTATTCTGCACCTGTACCACATTTCTTTATCCACTTGTCTGTTGATGGACACTTATGTTGTTTCTCAATCTAGGATATTGTGAAACATGCTGCAATATACATGGACATGCAGATACCTCTTCGATAGACTGATTTCCATTCTTTGGGGCATATACTCAGCAGTGGGATTGCTGGATCATATGGCAGTCCTATTTTTGCTCCTTTGAGGAACTTCCAAACTGTTCTCCATAGTGGCTGTACTAATTTACATTCCCACCAACAGTGTATGAGGGTTTCCTTTTCTTCACCTCCTTACCAGCACTTGTTATTGCCTGTTTTGGGATAAAAGCCATTTTAACTGGAGTGAAGTCATATTACTTTGTAGTTTTAATTTGCATTTCTCTGATGATCAGTGATGTTGAGCAGTTCTCACATACCCGTTTACCATTTGTACGTCTTCTGATAAATGTCTATCAGATATTTTGAGCATTTAAAAATCATATTATTAGATTTTTTCCTGTAGAGTTGTTTGAGCTCCTTATATATTCTGGTAGTTAGCCCCTTGTCAGACGGGTAGTGTTTGAGTACCTTTTTCCTATTCTGCAGGTTGGTGTCTTCACTTTGTTGATTGATTCCTTTGCTGGGGCACCAACTTTAGATGGGAACTTAGCTGTGCCCTGTAATCCTTTTTCCGTTACAGCATCTTCTTAACCTCTATAAAGAGAAGATTCTGCAATACCTACCTGCATACCAAAAGCAAAGGTGAAAAGAGTGCCTTCAGCAAGTCCAGGCCTTGATAGTTTTCATCTGAATATGTTATTGAATTTGACACACATAATGTATATTAATAACACTATCAATGCTCTTTTATTCATATACCTTAGATAATTCCTTTAATATGGGGTTGCCCTGTCCTCTGCTTATATTGTGAGTTCTTGCAGAAAAAGACTTTTCTGTCTGCTAGTAACACTGAAACAGCTCCCAGTGTCGTCTTCAGATCTCAGCACATGGTGGACCCTAAGTAAATGCTGATTGTCCAAATCCCATGCCCTGCCCTGTTTGTAACAGTGATGACCCAGACTTTCTCCTTAAAGACAGCAGGCGGAGGCCAGGCGCGGTGGCTCATGCCTGTAATCCTCCCACTTTGGGAGGCCGAGGTTGGTGGATCACAAGGTCAGGAGTTCAAGACCAGCCTGGCCAACATAGTGAAATGCTGTCTCTACTAAAAATACAAAATAATTAGCTGGGCATGGTGGCGGGCGCCTATAATCCCAGCTCCTCGGGAGGCTTAGGCAGGAGAATCGCTTAAACTGGAAGGCAGAGGTTGCAGTGAGCCGAGATCACGCCATTGTACTCCAGCCCTGATGACAATGAGGAATTCCGTCTCAAAAAACAAGCAAACAAACAAAATAAAAAAATTAAAAAAAAAAAAAGTGGAACTTTCTGGGAGTCAGAGCACAGCATAAAGCAAAGGACTTGTGCCTGACTCACTCTACTCCCAACACAGGCTGCTTTGTGTACAACTCAGATGCCTTCTGAATTACTCAGGTAAACAATAACCACCCAAAAACTATCGCTCAGGAAGTTGGCGCCATACATTGGGAATCAATACTCCAGCAACTCTACTGGATAAGATACTGAAAAGTACTAATTTTCTATAATTACATTGGAAAAAAATTTGAAGGCCAGTAGTCTGATGGGTAGAGATTATGTGTGTATGGGTATTTACATCTATAATAAGCATCTTTTTTTTTTTTTCATCAGAGTCACCACACTGGATTTAAGCATCATTTTTTGAATTGCTACTGTGATCTATTGTGAGAAAAAGGCATGAGGTATACGCATACACATTCAACAACTACAATTCTGATTTCCAAGTCTGTCATTAGACTGATGAAATATTTACATGTGTACATTTTATATGTATATGTGTGTGCATATATATAGTGTATACATATATTCATTCAGCACATACTTATGATAAAGAATAAAATATATACAACTCTTCACATTCTTGAGTTCTGAATTGTGCTCCTTCATATTTCATCATGTTTTAAATTATTTTCAGTCCTTTTGTGTAATTTGTATCCAGAGTTCTCCTTTGTTTGTTAAAAATCTGACTCAGCTACTTCCTTCATGATAGAGGCATTCAAAAACTTCAAGGTACTAAAGAAATATTTTCAAGATTGTGGCACATAATTTAGAATTTCTCCTTGATAAAATCAAAAGAGAAAATGAGTTCAGATCCACAATTACTAATTGCAAATCGTTAGGGCCAGATAGGCTTCCAATTTCAGAAAATTTTGAATTTTAGTCAAATAATAGGGTCCATATAGTATATCACATGTCCAAGTAGTCCAGAACTTCCCTCTGTATCCAAACATTGTTTGAGCAGCAAAATGTATAAATATTTGCCAGAAGTGGGATAAATGAAAATTAAATAATTTTGTCAATTTGGTTTCATCACCAGATTCATTAAGGTCTGGTAATATTCTGTCACCCAAGGATAATAAAAATAGTTTCCACGGATTTTTAGATTTTTGGATTCACAAAAGGAGTACTAGACAAATACAGATTTAATTATAAGAATCTACAGATTGGCATTGATAATAGAACTCTTGCTAAATTAAATTAAATTTGGCCTAAAGCAGCCTCTGCACATAACAAACTGCAGCCTAACTTAAGAGCATATTCTTGTAAGGAGTTGCTGAGCCTCAGCCAATCACAGCAGCTGAGCTTTGGCCAATCACAGACTGTCAACCAATCAGAGAGTGTCTATATCAGGCAAATACTGAACTGTAGCCAATCAAGCTGTTTCTGTATGTAATTTCCTTTTCCTAATACTGCCTCCCCATGTTGAGTGGAGCTCTCTGAACCTCTCCTGGTTCTGAGGGCTGCCCAATAGATGAATAATTCTTTCCTCAAATAAACTCTGCTAAATTTAATTTTTCTAAAGTTTTTCTTTTAAAACTGTAAATACAATTTTAAAAGATGTGGTAAAAATAAAAATGCTGTGTTGACAAAGTCAATTTGTCCCCAAGAAATTAAAAAGTAAAATTTCTTTGCCCTCAGTGCCAGAATGAAATAAGAGATTTCCCCTGATGCTTTCTGCTCCATTATAGCTGGCTTTGCTTTGGAAGTCTGATGGTGTTATATTTTTAGTTTTACTGATTCTCTCTAACCCATTTCTTCCCTTCAGTCCCTTCTACCACATCTATTGTTCACTGCCTTTGTGAAATTGAATTATTCTATAGGATATCACTAAATCATAAAAACATTAAGAATAAACAGACCCTATTTTATTTCAGGGAGCCATGAAAATAATGGTCAAAAGTGGGGTAGTTTTTTTTCTGTTTACAGCCTTCATGGAATTTAGGTTTAGACCCATGTTAAGGCAAAGATACATGTATACACACGAGCACACACTGATTTCACTGCTTCATATTTGTTGAATAGTAAATTGTGTCTTGAAAGATAAAGGCACAATAAGGAGGAGTGCCCCGTATGGTAATGAATGGCACGGCATCATAAAAGAGTTGGCATGGATGACTAGTTATGAATATTCAAACTGTTATTAGATAGATAGTAGTCTCCATGCTGCCTCCCATAAACCTAAACTAGGTTTACCAATGACTGCAAATGTGGACACTTGAGTTTTGGTATCTCATTTTACTTACTTTAAAGCCAGTTGGCTATGTGCTGCATCTTATCATAGGTAGTACGGAATAAAAGATCATCTTTAAGAGGATATAGAAAAGATCTGGAGATATACATTGTATCAACTTGAATTCACATTGGGAAAGAAACATACAAGTTAGAGCAATTCAATACAGTGATCACATAGTAAAAATAAATACGAAAGATGAAGTTAGAGCCCTAATTCAAAGAATATGAGTTGTATCTTCAATAGGAAAATAAAATAGAGTGGAGAGAAGGAGAGAGGGGGCATTTGGATAAGAGAAATATAAAGTACAAAGGAAGTGAGAACAAGGCAA